CGAGCAGCCTCTCCTGCCAGCCCCGACTCACTCCCCTTCCTAGCGGCCTCCCGTCCCAGTCCTTTCTTCCAGTGCCCCGACGCCGCCCTCCCCCGCCCCGCGACGCTCCCCTCTCCCGCGGAGTCTCTCATTTGATTCTTTCCGACCCTGCTGCTAAGAGTGGGGGTCGAGGGCCACCCGCAGCCTGGGCATCCACGGAGAGCCTGTTAGCAGTGCTATGGCAAGTCCCACTTTAGATCCATGTTCAGGATCTGCAGGTTACCAAAGTCCCCAGGGGACCCCAGGGCACGTCCCTATTAAAGAAGGGTGCTCACACACACATTGTTGGAATGGCTGTCTCCCCACCTTGTTTCATCACTTTTTGGTTAATAAAGCACTTCCTATATCTGTTATTTCTTGGACTCTTCATAAGAAAATAAAAGCAAGGTCGTCACTATATAGATAGGTAAACTGAAGTGCTTAAATTGAGTTTAGAGCCAGTAGAACTCAGCTTTTCAGACTGGATTCACCTCTTCCTCTCCAGATTTTTGAAGTGTGTAACCACCAGAGGCCATAGGTAACCCTGCATCTTCTGTCCCTGCAAAATTGGCAATTGGTTATTCTGTTTCCCTGCAGCTGCACAGCATAGACCTCAGCAGCTTGGGTATGCAATTCTCTTTCCTCTTCTAAGCCACCCACTTATTCAATCAAGCATTCACTACTTGTCCAGTCCTGCAGTTCTTGATGACGGTTTGGAGTGATAACATAATCAGCTGCTAAGTTGTTGTCCCTTAGAAAACATGGACACAATTTCTTCTATGCTGGTATTGCAGAGCTAGAATTTTAATCTGCTCTTTGTATTTCTTTTTATTTTATTGCAAGAAAAATAATTATGGAGGCAGAGGAGACGAGGTTTCAGATATAGGCCCCGACTGGTTGGGAGGTCAGTAACGTTCATGGTGGCAATGAAGATCAGGGACGGGACGATGACAGAAGTAAGGACCAAAGGTGTTCAGTATATAAATGGCATAAATGAATATGCATAAGGTTATGAAATACAAATATCCAAAAGGAAGTCAGTGTTCACAATGGTTTTTTGTTTTTGTTTTTGTTTTTGTTTTTTGACCCAGAGAAGAAAGGCAGGATACTGCTGTCAAAATAGTGAAAAGTGCTGACAGACCCAGAAGTCAAATATTGCTAGTGGGCATCATTTGATGCAGACACTGGGTTTATCCTGGCAGGTCAATGAGGTGTAAGGCATGAAAACCTTGGTCTCCAAACATCTGTTATTGCAAGAAATAGATCCTATTTATTGATTGAAAAAGATTAGATGACCTATAATTGCAAAATCAGAAACTTCTTTTCAAAAAATATAGGTTTGCAATGCATAACATTTTGCAACAGAAAAAAATTGAAAATCTGTTAAAAGTGTAATCCTTAAAACCCTATTTAAAAATTGAAATGCCTTTCTTTTCTTCTCTTCCTCCATACCAGGGAAAGGAGAGCCAGCTTAGAGTAAACTAATGTTTAGTCTTAAAAAGCAAAATTTGGACTTCTGATGTCAGTATTGATTCTGTGGCTTGGGAATCTAAGATGCTGCTACTTACCTTCCTCTTATTACTATAACTACAGTTAAAAATGATGGGACCAGGTAAAAGGTAAATGAAGACAAGGCTATTCTTCTAGTAAGTAGCTCTAATAAAACCATGTAGACTTTTTAACTTAATTTTATTTTTGGCAGGGAATGAGAGGAAGGTGGTGAAAGAAGCTCTGAAACCATGCCCAAAATGAAGCTGGCAGATAATCCGTGCATTTCAATTACCTATATATATATAATCAAGGACCTGGGGTCCATGATGGGCTTCAGGGGGAGTGTGAAGATCCTCTGGAAGTACTAGATAAGTGTTGTGATGTATGAGTTTTTCTAGGGTGGATACCCATTGCTTCCACAGGTCACTCAACATCTGCAAGGCTTTCCAGAGTTTAAACCCACCTTCGTTTCCAGCCACTAGTAAATTGGCATGCTTTCCTGAGGTTACCCACCATCCACTTACATTACCTCCAGAGATTTTCTTATTCTCTGTGTTTTATTATAAGATTAAGCCCTACGGGAGGCTCAGCACATATCCCTTACATTCAGGGCTTTGCAGAGATCCTCTGCTCCTGGCAGTAATGTGAATCTGCTGAGTGGCCAAGAAATACTGTGGTTTTCTCCTCTGTGCACATCTAAGCAAGATAGTTCCCTGATCAGTGTGATCTAAGTAAGTGAAATAAGACCTGGCTTAATTCAAACAAGAAGGCAGAGACAAACCTGAGTTACATTTCCTTTTCATTTTTTCAAGGAAAAATGGAACCTTTATTTTCTGGTCTCATCAACGTGCTGTTCATAAAACCACCTTTTTCTGTTACTGACTCCCACACCCCAAATCAGTGCTGTAGCTGGTATCTGATGGGTAACAGATCTGCCCATGCCTCTGTCTGTGATTTTTTTACTTTCGATAGCTTAAAAGTAAAATCTGTGATCTTGGCACTTTCTCAAAAAATTAAACATAGACTTGCCATGTGATCCTTCTATTCCAACTTCATTTATACACCCAAGAGAACTGAAAACATATGTTCACACAGAAACTTGTACACAAATGTTTATATTTTTCATCATAGCCAAAAAAGTGGAAGCAACCCAAATGTCTAGCAGTGATGAGTGGATAAACCAAACACAGGCAATCCAACAGTGGACGATTATTCAGCCATGAACAGGAATGAACTTCTGATACATGTTACAACATGGATGAATTTTAAAACATTGTGTTAAATGAAAGAAGCTGGTCACAAACCGACCACATGTTGTATGATTCCATTTATATGAAATGTCTAGAAAAGACAAATCCATAGACAGAACTGCAGAGACAAAAAGTAAATTAGTGGTTGTTGAGGACAGGAGAAGGGGAGAATTGGTAGTGACTTGAGATACGGAGTTTCTTTTAGGAATAAGCGAAAATGTCCCAGAATTAGGTATTGGTACTGTTAACCTAGCACTGGAATACACTGAAAACCACTGAATTGTACATTTTAATATGGTTAAAATGGTGAATTAAAAAAAATTGTGATATTTGAGCTGGTGAAGAAAAGATAAAATAGGATATGAGAATATTCCTGTGCTGTTCAGGGAATATAAGATTTGGGGTACATTCAGGAGGGCTCTTCTGAATGTCATCGGGCCTAGTTTTAAACTCTTCAAACACAAGGCTCCCCTTTCAGTCTACAGTCTGCAGGATTTCCAGGGGTCAGGATTTCCAAGCCCCTTACAGGGACCCCAGGCTCACAATGAGTCTGAATCACAATTGGCAATCTTTGCTGTAGAATGATTATGTTACAAGTTGACTGATTATGTTACAAGTTGACCTCCCAATCCCCAATAATGTGGATGTGGAGTGACCTCATGGTGCTTTTGTTTTGGTGCTAAGTATATAAAAAGGTGAAGCGATTGTACCAAATCACATTCGTCCTTGTGAACACACCCCACATAATGTCATTTGTTTGGGTCACCATGCCAAACACCCACCACACATTGAAGTAAGCAAATAACCAGGACAACTGTCAGAACCATGAATCCTCTTGATTTTACTGGTTGGAGTAGAGCTGCCAAAAGTACTGAGTTTTCATATACAGCAACAGCCAGACTGTAATCAGACTTCCAGTGACATCAACCTTCTGAAATATCTGTGAACCCAGAGGGAAGTGGGGAAGAAGCAGGGGGTTCGGTGCCCCCTGAAAACAGCAGCCAAAAGCCCATGCACCTTCCTAAGAAGCAAAGTCAACCCGACATAAATGGAGCACGGTGTTTCCTGGCTTCCCCAAGAAAACTTCAGTGTTGCCCACCAGAGAGCAAGAAGTAGGAGCAGAAGACTCAGGAAGCAGGTTGGAGGAGGACGCGAGTGGAAGGTTGGCAAAAGGCGACAGCCCTGACACAGATATCACCTCCAGGCTGTGCAGGAACACACTTTGTTTCATGTGCACAAGATTAAGAACAGCTAATGTTGCCTCGAAAGTACAGGAACACATGGAGCACATGTGGTTGTAAAAGGTCCCAAATGCCACCGTTGCCCTAAGATGGCTTCACCGATGGCAGACAGCAGTAAAATCCATCAGTGAGAAGGGCAGATTGGTGAGTGAGAGGCAAAGCCAAGCCCCACAGGTGAAAGCTCCTGCTGACATCACTGTACCACACCATGGTACAAAAGGGACTGATGTTCAAAATGATGAGTGTGACTCATTAAGAAAAGATTAAATACTCTCCAGAATACTCTGTTTACTAAGGCAGGGAAGTGTGTAATACGTTTTAGAAAGATTTCCCTCAAAAAATATTAAAATTTTAAAGATTCAGCACTTAAAGGGTTAATCCTCTGTTATCTGAATATTTGCTTACCTGCCTCATTTCACAACAATGCTAGTAAATGAGGCATTACTTTGTTTTTTAATAAGCATTAGTATCAAATTATTGGCACCATTCAGTTTTAAGGATAGGGACAGGAGAGCAAACTATACAATACAACATAAAAATACAGTTCTGATACAAATATACGAGATCAATTCCACTTAACAAGTGGTCATAAGAAATGGATGGACATTTTACACACAAAGGAAAACAGCTAGTAAATCATCACATGGAAAAGTGCTCGGCCTTGCTAGCAACTAATGAAGTAAAACCTTTTAAGAACAGCTAGACACATCTATTAAACTAGCAAAAATAAATAAAAATGGCAAAACCCAATACTGGCAGAGCTGTTGGTAAATAGAAATACTTATACATTGCTGGTGGTGTCATAAATTGTGGAGGGGATTCAAGCATTCAGAGGGCATAGGGGGTTGAACTAAATGACCTTTAAGGTCCTTCCAACCCAGAGATTGGATCTTTCTAGAAAGCAATTTGACAATATGAAACAAGAGCTATAAAATAGTTCATGCTCTTTGACCTTATAATCCTTCTTTGGAGATATTCCAAAGGGAAAAATCCAAATGAAGGATCAAAGTTTTTTGTTTTTGTTTTTACAAAGACATTCATAGCAGCACTATTTATAAGAGTGAAAACTTGGATATGATGCAAATGTCTCATAATGGAAAGAAGTAAGGTTAATTGAATTACATGGATACAAAGACATTTAAAGTGGTGAGCTGTAGGATCTGTGCTGATCAGAGGAATATGTGTCTGATGATGTAGAACAACCAAATGGTCAGAGCTATGTAAAAAGGGGGGTTTATTCATTGAGAAAGCTTGGAAAACAATTTAAAGGGGGCAGTGTGTGGTTAGGGGGTCTCTTTATTCCTGCAAAGTTGTTCAAGTGAATAAAAATTTAAAAACACATTTCTTGAAACAATATAAAAAGAGAGCAAAGTTTCTTCTGGTCAAAGCTCTATTACCAGGACATGAATTGATCAACTTTAGAAATAATTTTCCTTATGGAACACCCAAATGAATCTTGACATTAAATCCTTTTAACCTTGGAAGGGTTTTTTAGACAACTGAAGCCATACTTTGAGTTCAATGATAATTCTGTTTATCCCCCCAAAAATGGTATCTACCAAATTCACAAATTAAATTATATTTCAAGGGAAGCTGAAGTACTTCCAGTCCTGATGATTACAACACTCTTTCTCAGTTCACTACTTAGGTTTGAATAAAAATGAATGTTAAGGATATTTTAAGATCTGTGTATTTACCAGTGTAAATGAAAAAAAATCAGCAGTAAGGAATTACTTTCCCATTAAAAATGACTCTTTAACAAACAAAGCTTGGTGCTAGTTTCAATCATACAAAATCATGGTTGAGATTGACAGGAAAGGATTCCAGGCCATATTAACCCCTGTGGTTACTGATAAATATACACAGGTACTTCTGAAAAGGAATCCCCATTTTCCCATATTCTTCTTTCAGGCTTACCAAATTCTGTCTCAACTACACTGAGCAGTAGAAAAATTCTACTACTCAGGAGACATAAAATAACGTTTCCAATAAAAGTCAAGCCACAAGTTGGCTTCAACTAACCATGGAGACGGGCAAACAGAACACACGCATTTGCATGTTGTGCTAAAGCAAGCACAAAGCCCGAAGAAAGAAAACGGACAGAAGGCACCGTGCCATCCTCCAGGTAACGAGGGAAGAATTTCACAGTTCGGTCATCAACAGTCTTTTCATCATTTTCTCTCTCTCTAGTTCTTGCCGGAGCGTCTCTGCACTGGAAATGAGGAGGTGACAGAAGGGTGAGATAACGCCCCTCAAAACTGACAAAACAGATTGTGCTAAAGTTTATCTCCTAGACTCAGCCTACTTCCCTCCCTTTATATGTTCCCTCTGCCTTCCGACCCTCCTCTCTGTCCTCCTCCTCCCTCTCCTTTCTTTCTTCCTATTAAATAATTTTAAGAGTTTGAGCAAAAAATGGACTCAATTGGGTATGACCAAGCCAGAAGTGGTTAAGGACATTGTGACCCAGATTCTTTCTCTTAGTCCCTGACTTTCTCTTTCAGGCTCCTAAGGAAACCCCTGTATTTGCTAGCATTACCACAACTTGAAATTGTCTGACTTTCTATGACTTTCTTCCATCAGACTGAGAGTTCCCCAAGGGTCCTCTCATCAGGGGAATGTCTATACATATGTCATTCATCTCTGAAACCCCAGAGAACAACATGCCATCTGGAACATAGCAACCTTGCAGTGAAAGTCTTTTGAACGAACAGGAAGATGCCCAGTCGCCAGAGTTCTTTAAAATGTATTGCACTTTCACTCAGAGTTCCACTACATGCTTTAATACACAAAAGTGAGTGAAGTACAACTGGCTGCTTTGAGGAGCTGCCTCTGACTTCTTGGTCTTCAGCTTCAGTCACCTATTATTAGAACCTGTCTCTCGTGTATAAACACACACACGGAAAGTACACATGTTCTAAGACATAACCGAGTATTATTAAGCCAATTATTTTTAAATAACTGCATTCGAGCCCACAAGGTCCTACACAATCAGCCCCCAACACGCTCCACCTCAGAAGCCTTAGCACTGGCTGTTCCCTTTGCATCCTCTTTTCCCAAATCTCCACAGATTGCCTCTTTTCCACCCTCAAGTCTCTGCCCTCAAGTGAGACCATTCCAGCCTCACCTCCTACACTTCATCTCAGTGTTTTTCTCCTTGCCAGGACCCACTGATCACTCACCTGGCTGCCAGAGAAACAGGCTTCCGGGTGGCATAGATGGTCTGCACGGTGGAGCCGGTCTCTGTCAAAGGCCTCAGGGTTGCTGTTGGAATTAGCGGGGAAGACTGGCTAGGACAGCACTGTGATTTACTGTCTCTAAAATCTGCCTGGAGAGGAAACGGAAAAGAGGAAATCAATCTCAATTTGGGTTCCGTTTTCACACTGTCAGCTGCTCCCTGCACTTTAACAAATAGTTTCTGTTATTTTTTTTAATAGTAGCTAAAATCAATTCCCATGTGTTAAATGATACCACATTGTGTTGGATACTATGCTCAGCATTTTACATTCATTACCTCCTACCAATCCTCTAAGACAGAGATTATATTTCATCATATTTTAGACACCATCAATTGTAGACCATTTTGCCTGCAGCACAGAGAAAGAAAAATTCACACTTTGTCACGCTTACGACTGTAATGAACTTTCTGATTTCTGAGATGCTAAAAGGTGGGGGGAAATGCACCTTTCAGAACTGATTTTTTTGGAAGAGCAAAGAGAGGTTAAGCAATCTCCCAAAGCCACACTTTAACAAGGGTTAAGCACAAGTATTTAGAACCAGAGTTAGCTGAATCTGTAACTAGCATTTTTCATCACCATAGCAGTGGTTTGCAAAGTATGGTTCCTGGACCAGCAACATCAGAACGACCTTGAAACTTGGTGAAAATGCAAATTCTCAGTCCCATCCAAGGTCCAAAAACGTTTTGGGAGGAAGTCCAGCAATCTGTGCTTTAACAAGACCTCTGGATGATTCTGCTACATAGTAAAGTTTGAGAATTACACTCAGTATACTGCCTGATTTGGACAAGGCATCTATTTTTTGTTTGTTTGTTTTCATTATAAAGCGTGATATGCTTATTTTTATAGAAAACTTAGAAGGTATATCGAAGTAGACAAATGACAAGTCCCTTAATCCCTTATTGTTGGTCTTCATGTACTTGCTCACAATATTTTTTTTTAAGATTTATTTATTCATACAGAATTGGGGTACAGGCCAGAGACCCCGGGGAGGGTGACAGGATTCACCAGAGACAGAGTGGGGCGCAGAACAGGCAGATGGAAGAAGTACACTGCTGAGGGGAGCAGCTGGCAGGTCAGGAGAGGTCTGCCGCGCCATGTGGATCTCCTCCCGGGCAGGCAGGGATTGAACTCATGCTGAAGTGGCTTAAGCTTTTTAGTGCTGTGCTTTAATCCGCTGCACCACCAGAGATGGCTTGCTCACAGTATTTTTTATGTATACTTTTAGTTTGTTCGATCCCCTTTGGCTAATACCAGCTCTGTATTTAAAATGTGACCTTTCACATAAGTTCCTGGACCTAAACACTGGGAAATTGATGATGTGGCTTTCTGGTGAAGAGCCTTTGACCATCCAATGAGCGAGGTGATGAGTCATCCCTCCTAGGGAAACACGGAGAACCACCAAAAATACAAGTGGAGCAGCAGTCCTGTGAGAGTGTATCTGCCTTGAGCAACAGAGAGAGGCTCACCCTTTGATGGTTCCCGAGGCTACTGGTGAGAAACACAAACCTGTTTCACACCTGCTTCCAGAAGGAGAACTGGCCTGGGATGGAGCAATGTCAAAGAAACTGACCTCCGGAACGAGAGCTGCATACACTTGGCTAGCGTGTGCCTGCTGCCTCAGAGAACTACCCCAGGGTTGGCAGTCAGACTCATCGGCGCAGCTCACCAGGCACCTGGGTTCATCATGCTCCAGCCACATGGTAGGACTGCACAGTCCACTCCCTGAAGCTAGGGGTGGCCATGGGCTTGCTCTGGCCAAGGACATGTGGGTGGAGGTCCCATGTTTCATTTCCGTTGAAAGATTTAAGCACCAGCTTGTGATTTGTCACCTGTCCCTCTTCCCTTCTGCCACTGTGACTACGAATGTTCCAAATGGCAGCTGCTCCATTAGCCAAGGTCCCGGAAAGAGGCCAACACACAGCAAAGTCCTCAGACCACCCACGACAGACATGCAGATGGGTAGGAAATTCAACCTGTCATTTTAAAGCATGACTTAGTCCATCCTTCTGGAAACAAGAACCAGGGTAAGAAATTATTTTGTTGCTTCAGTAACATGGTTGGAGGTGGGGCTTTTGATGCCACTTTTGATGGAAAAAGAGGGACATTCACAGTGATCCCACAAAATCAATGGTGGGTAAAATTGCCAATTAAGCGTGGGGAGAGGCAGTGGCAACAAACTGCACAGCAGTCATGGTATTCTTCACTGCCATGCATGCAAATTGGTTAAAAAAAAAAAAAGCCAGCTTCATTTAAGGATGACCTTGGAGTAACAGTGAAAATTATTAAGATCATTAAATCTGAACTCTGAGTACTCATTTTAATTAGGATGCTGTCAGTAATTCCCTAATTATTATCTCCGATCCAGTCTTGGATGTCCACCTGCCTGTTCTTTGCGCCCACCAGAATATTTCAAAGGCATTTCTAATGCATCCCGGCTAAACTCATCATCTCTCCCAGTCTAGTCTTCTTGCAGGTTTCCTCATCTTTGCCCACATTCCTCAAGTCAGATCTCTGGAGCCATTTTAGCTCTTCTCTCTCCCTCATCCAAGCCAATTTCTTATCAGCCCCCTGTTATCTCCCCATCTCTGCCCTTCTCGAACCTGTACCATCAACAGCACTCTGGGTCAAGGTCACTGCCCTCTCTTCCTTGAATTATTGTCCTAAACATCTAGACTACTGTCCAGAATCCACTCTGCCTGGGCCCAACTCTTCTCCCATGGCAATTACAGGGGTTACCCCAATGCATTACACTGTCACAGCCCTCGTGGCCTCCTGCAAAGACTTGCCATTACTCTTGGTTACAGATCAGAGTCACTACTGTGGCTAGCAAAGGTTGAACAGATTTTACCCCTCTGCAGCTTATCCTTGCCGTCTTTCCCTACCCTCCCCTCATGCCCCACTCCCTTCTCCCTGCATTCTAGTCCCACACTCCTTTTCAGTCCCTTGAATGTGCAATGGTCCCTCTGCCCCAGGACTCTGGTTCACGCTGTTTCCTCTGCCTGCTCCAGCTGCCTTCAAGTCACTCTTGCCCAGATCTTAAAACGCCCAGCATGGTTTCTGACATTGGCTTCCTGCTCCATCCTGGCCCCCAGCTTTTCAGGAAGGGCTTCCCTGGGTGTCTCACGGAACTGCCAAGTCTGGGCAGGAGGCCAGAGTGCCTGCCACAGCCAGCTGAGGCAAGTGGAGCAGGAGCTTCTGGCTGGGGAACTGTGTCTGCAAAAACTGCAGGATCAGATGGAGATTGGAGCAGTAGCCTTGACCAGCCTGGCCCTTGTCTCTGTCTTCCAGCTCTCAAACAGCAAGGCTTAAGTAGCTCCAGAGCTCAGAAATGGACTGTTCTAGCCTGTTTTTACCTTCACACTGCTTCCCCCTTCCCTCCCTCTCTGTGTGGCTGAAGTCATGTATGGTGATGTCCACCATCAAGCTCATAAGACTGTACTTTGCGTGACCCCTGGGCCTCCTCACAGCCCACTCACAGATCCTCCAGACTGGCTAGCATCTACCTGGAAGGAGCCTTTGGGGTCATTCAGTTGCCGGAGTTGCAAACTGATTCCTGAGAGGAAAAGGAACTGAGGGAAAGGAGGAGGAGACCCTGGACTCTCCACTACTGCTGTCCCCAGCAGCCTGTTCCATAGTGAGCTGCTCAGGCACTTTCATTTAAAGAGTTGAGTGGATAAAAAGAAGCCTGAACATCCTTAGACTCTCTTACTTTACAGATGAAGAAACTACAGGATTTAAATGTTAAAAACATGTGAACATTCTTGGAGAGTTTAAATAAGCTGCCGAATGACACAGAGAGGTGGTAACACAAAACTGGTTGTCATGACTACCTGCTCCTGTGAATTACACCACCCAGCCTCTACAGCCTTGAGAAACAACAATCACAGTTGACATTTGTGGGATGTATTGGCTGGCCACTACTTTTAAGTTCTTGACCCTTTTGATCCTTGCCTCCACCAGATATGAGGACGTGCTGGCTATTTCCACTTTCAATGGGAGACTGGCTGCCCAGAGAGGTACTGTGACTCACCTAAGATTGCACCATTGTCAAGACAGATCCAACCTTAAGAGAACTGAAAACATGGATTTGCACAAATCTGTGGATTGTATGTTCATAGCAACATTATTCACAATAGGCAGAAGGTAGAAATCACTCAGAGACCCTCCATGACCAGCTCAACAAACTGTGGTGTTTACATACAAGAGGATATTAGCTCAGCATAAAAAGAAACAGTCAGGACACATGGTACAGCAGGCATGACCCCCCAAAGTCTCAAAAACATGCTGCTACGTGAAAAAAGCCATACGTGAAATGTCACGTATTCTATGAGTCCATTTGTATGAAATATCCAAACTAGGCAAATTCAGAGACAGGAGGCAGACTGGCGGTTGTCAGGGACCGAAGGGAAGGGGAAATGGGGTACGACTATTATTGGGCATGAGGGTGTCAACAATGTTTGGAACTAGACAGAGACTCTAGCTGGAAGACTGGAAATGTATTAAATGTCACTGAATAGTCACTTACAAAATTTCATTTTATGTATGTGAAGCTGACCTCAATAAAATAAAATCACCAAAACATGCAGACCCCCCCAAACCACAGCTCCTTCCTAACTCCACAGCGATCAAAAGGAGCTGTGAGTGTTTCTGTCTGGCATTCCACAGAAAAGCAGGCCACCCGGGAACAATGTGGGAAAACACAGATCTGATTTCTAGGTCTACTTACCGTAAACTGTGGCCCTGTAATGAAAGGATCAGGAAATGGGGTCACTGGATCAGCTGGGAATGTTTTTATCTTCAAAAAAGAGAAAGACAAGAGTGTTACTTTCAGATCTGAAAACAAAGTCGTGAATTCTCTGGCAGTGGACTTTTCGAACCAGGCTGAAGGGTTCAGGGGAATATACGCAGACGCTTCACTGCCGGTGGAAAGAGACAAACAAAGGGTCCCCCAGCTGCTGGAGACTGTACTGTGCCCAATACTGTCCTGTCAGGCCTGGAGACAGCAAGCACAAGCCTTACTCCCTTCACTGCGGTCAACTTGGGCTTCCGAGGCGCGCTGGGCCCTACATACTGGATCCATAGAAGGTCATGATCGGGGTGTGTAGTGAGAGGCTGGCCAGGGTTGCCTGCTCATGGTTGCTCCCGGCGGCCGGCGTATGGAGTCGACACCATCGAGGGCCCGCATTCTGGGACGCTGTCTGTGACAGGGGTCGGAGCAGCCAGAGCCTGGACTCATCAGCCCAGAAAGCACTCCCTGTCTATACACTTGAGTTGGTGGACTCTGGGTAAGCTCTGGGCAACACAGCAGCCCAGGTAGGCATGTGAGAATACTGCCACTCTGGCCTCTGGGTATAGAAGATCTGGTGATTGAAATGCCAGGGCTGGGGCTGGCTGCAGCGCAGGGTGGGCAAGAATGGGTGGCTATAGCCTGATTGGCCAGGAGTGCATGGCCAAACTGTTCTTTCTTTTCGTCATTTTATCTTTGGTCTCTTAGAAGTCATAGGGAAGGATTGGGGGCTGCCTATTTCTCTAGGCTGGCCTAAAGGACTACCAGCAGGCCAGGGGCCTGAGGACTCTGTCTGCAACCCCTGGGGCACAGGGGTTATCTGCACACCTGCTTGTGAGTGCACTGTGCTAACTACCATGAGAGGGTGCAGCACAGTCACCATGGCTACCGGCGCCCACCCACAGCAGCCTTTGTGTCTCTTGGGGTCTTGTATAGAACTGGGACTCCCAGGCCTACCTGGGCTCCTGAGGTTTCTCTCCATTGCTCAGAGTTTGTCAGAGTCCACCAACTAAAGTGTATAGACAGAGAATGTTTTCTGGGCTAGTGAGTCCGGGCCCCCTGTACACTGCTTACTATAGTAGACACTGGTGGTCATCTGAGGGCTCCTTCATCAATATTACCATTTAAAAAAATGTTTTAAAGGCTAGAAAACAACTTAGGTCTACGGCCATACCACCCTGAACGCACCCGATCTCGTCTGATCTTGGAAGCTAAGCAGGGTCGGGCCTGGTTAGTACTTGGATGGGAGGAAAAAAGTTATGTATATTCTGCATATGTATGGAAGCACAATTCATTTATGGAAATATGTTCTCTGATGATTTATTGACTAATATATTTATCTTAAGCCATGTCTTACGTTGAGAGTGTGCCATTGTTGGAATAATCACTGAAAGTGACTAACATGAGGCCCTGTAAATACATGATAACTGCACACAGATTTTATGTATTGGCTGACCAAAAATGATTTTAAATGAGCTGTAGTCTTCTATGGCTTTGTAACAAACTATACAAATGACTGTAAAAAAAAAAATACAATTATATCAAGTAAAAAAATAAAATGTGAACCCGGGATAGCTACTCAATCCATTCGAGTCTAATGGAGGCTAAGGTAGGGAAGAGAAAGAACACATCCGGCCAGACTCAAATCTGCTAAGGTTTGCTGAGTGGGTGGTGCAGGTCTGGACCAATCTGAGAATGACAATGACCTGCCCCATGTGCTCTGAGATATCCAGGCCCAAGCATCTCCCCTCTCCCAAACTCCTGTTGGTCCCTTTAAACATCTCAAAACCCAAAAACAAGACCCAAGTTGCCTTCAGGCAGGGAGAGGACTCAGGGTGAGCCAGGTGGGTACCTTTCCTCCATGGCCCCATGGGTCAACATGGTGTTCTGAGACCAGCAGCAACATAAGAAGAAACACATGGATGAAACTCTCAGACCATCATGAAGAAGAAGGACAAAAGAGGGTTATTATGGCTAGTAAAGAAGCATAGAGTCGGCAACTTCAGAGAATTATTTATGCCTGCTCTCTATAAGGAAATACATTCCCACAGTTGCACTGTTTGCTCAGCTGTGACAAAATGTATTCACTCCCCTGAGGACACCATAAGGTGGCAGAAGGGAGCAAAAGCCCATGTCGCAGTATGAACCCAGCCTAAGAAAATGAAGTGCCTGACACCAAAGCTAATGTGTTCTTTTAAAGAGTGAATGAAAACTGGAGACGAAGCGTGTCCTGCAGTAAAGAACCTGTTAGGTGAACGATGGACCTTTCATTTGGAGCAATGTTAACCGTCATGCAGAATACTGTAACAAGATAGAAACTCAACCATAAGGGAAAAGAGAAAAACAGGAGATGATATGGACACTGTGACTGAACTGTGTAAAACGATGAGTGAATGTGAATAAATAAGGAAATACGCAAAAATGGAAAAAAAAATGAGGGCCAAGTTGGGATGATGGGTGAGTCCTTTTAAGTGGTTTTTTGTAAAGCTCATATTGTTATCCTGATAAACAGCAGGAAAAGACAAGTTTCAAAAAGCTTTTTATGTCAATGGAATTGCAACTAAGATTCTTCTCTCTGCAAAAGCATCTAGTTCATCAAAGCTCTTGGGGGTGGTGGTGGGAGGGACAACCCTTCCTGAACTTGAGACCTAGAGACAAGACCTAGAGGCCTGAGGGGACCACAGATGTGTGTCCCGGGGTGACCAGCTGGCTGGTCTCCAACTCCTGCATCATCCTGGAGGGACAGCCCCGAGAGCGCGGCAGGTCTGGGGCATTCACCCCCGCAGGGCCGTCACTTGGGGGCTGCTGGCCGCCTCACGTCTCCTGGCCAGGCCCCTCTCCCTGCCAGGGTACCTACCAGCCTTGTTTTGATTGGAGGGTGCATGCAAACTCCAGTGGTCTCTTCCTTCATGGGGAGAGAGAGTGGAGGAGAACAGCGAGAGTGGGCACAGTAGGGGGCGCTGGCGGGCTCTGCCTGCTCACGAGGAGAGGAGAGAAGGGGAGGAGGATGGTGAGAGAGGGGGAAGAGGAAGAAGAGATAAGGGAGGGGAAGGAGAGAAAGATAGCACAGTGCAAGATGGGTCTGTCATCAACTCCACTGCTCACCCCAGCCACTTCCTGCCTCTGCAGCTGCTTGAGCCCCTCCCGCCTCCCTCCTCTCTCCGCCTTCTCTCCAGCCCTCATCTGTCTTCTCTATCTGAGCACAACGACCCATCAAAGCTCCATTCTCGGGGCTGGCAGGTAGGGGCATCTGCTGTGCCAACTTCATGGGACTGGCAGTAGTTTCCTGGCATGCTGTTGAGGATTCAAAAGCGTTGGCCAAGCCGAAAGAGAAACATGATGAGTTAGGGATGGTCATGGAAGCAACATGGGGAGCACCCTCCTGCCTGGTGACCTCCTGTATAAAAATAAAGGCCCCATGGTGGCGTACAGATGAGTCACATCCACGGAGTGCCCCGGGAGAATGATGTGCCAGTAAGAAGAAGCAGATCTTAGGGTTTGATCTGCCATGACTTTTTGTTATCAGTGTTCAGAAAACATGGTGCCCTTGCCCCACCCATGAATCTCGGTGTCAGCTGGTACTTGCTGTTAGCTGGAAGATACTAAATGCTGTGAGAAAATGTCAGGGCACATGGGTTACTAAGTCTTGCTCCCCAGCCCTAAACAGTGCTAGGCACCGAGGTCGGATAGCCTGTGCCATTGGGGATGGAGAAGGTGCAGAGATGAAGCTCTGATGTCAGGTGGGGCCACCGACAGGGTTAGAGTTGGAGTTTCAGGGGGGCCATTTGCTTTAGAGAATAAATATACACATATTTTAGTTCAAGACTCTCCTTCAATAGCTGGTATCAATCATCCTGCCATAACCACTGAAATACAGCCTCTGGGCAAGTTTCATTGAAAAATGATTAAGAAAATTGCAGGCCTCTCTGCCATCTCTAAATTGATCTAACTCCAGCCTCTGCCATTGTGCTGTTCTGGGCAATTTCCAAGGGGCTTTGATAGCTGTCTGGTCTTCACAATGGCCTTGTTTGACTATTCAAATTTAGAAGAAGCAGAAATTGTATTTGCAAATCTAAATTCACAGTTCTAGACCCTCTTGTTGGCTGTTCTAAATCCATTCTTCAGAAACAAGTGAGTCACTTAGTCACTCCAAGTTAAGTTTTACCAACCTACTTAAAAACCCCTCCTCTGTTCGTCTTGGTCTCCAGCATAAATCCCACACTCTGTAATCCGGCAGCGTGAAGCTGGCCCACTGGCCAGCAGATAATAGCAGGCATGCTGATTGCTGATGAAAAATGAAAGCCGCCATAAACCTGA